GTGGAGGCAGCGGTTTGCGTTGCCCCTGACGACGCGGGGGCAACTGTTGTTGCCATTGATTCTGCGGAGCTGCGCTGACAGGGTCTGCGGTGGTCCCCGCAGCAGCTGGGGCTGGGCGTCTGGCGCCGACGGCAGATGCGTAGGAGGGCTTCGTCGGAGGGAGGTTGCTGTGCGTGCCGGCGAGTACATCAGTCCAGTACTGCAGGAAGCTGCTGGAAAACTTCTGAGCGAATTGAAGTGCGGGTCCAGAAGTGAACTGTTTCGCGGTGGCGTCGAATGAGGAGCAGAAAGCTTTGAACACGGCTAGTTTGGCGCTATAGACCTCGTTCTGGGCGACCACGAGCTTGTCGGCGGCATTGGTGATTGAGACGGGACCGTCACCGGGCTGCGGGTCGGGTTCGCTAGAGTCGAAATGGACAGCGCGCTGAGCCCCTTCTGTGGCTGCAGCGTAGGACACCGCGTGAAGCGGCGATGACGGCGTGTATGCCGTCCGTAGCGCAGAGCGCGAGACGCCGATCTCGCCTTCACCGGTGGCGGGGCTGTTGCGCAGAAGGGCGACACGCGCTCTTCTGGCTAGGCCGAAGGGGGTCCTGGGACCCAGATCGAAAGGATCATCATTATGAGGCGGGCTGGACGAGGCCGATGCCATCGCCGCCGCCGCCGCCGGCTGCGCAGAGCGCAGATTGGGCGGATTACGGTGTACTTGTTAAGGAATAAGGTGTGTATTAGGCTACTTTCTTAACACTTGCATGCCAAGAAAGTAAAAATGCAGGGAAGGATGGCCTGAGCTGACGAATGAGGTCATCAGTCGCCTCCAGGGTGAGCAATCCGTTGAGAGCATCTTGGCGTGGCTCGATGGCATCAGGGTTGGCCCGCCTCTGTATGGTGGACCGGCGCGAAGACAAAGCACGAGAGCATTTCAATCGTGGCTCGCCTCAGATTCTACTTCATCCAAAAGTGATGTTCCTAATCACTCGATTATCGGTGAAGGAAACATGGGTGCAACTACCGAAGCTTCGTCTCCGCTCTGGGAGCCAACTTCGCCAAGCCGGACTGTCGATCGAAACGCACTAGAAAAAGGTTGGAATCCCGCGGCTGGCACAGGTCCGCACCGCTCTGCTGCAGTAATACGCAACTTACACGCGGATACTGCATCTCCAAGCCCGCGTCACTCTCTCGAACTGAACCAAGTGCTCTCCACGCTACACACCGAAGAGGCAGAGCACTCCTGTGGCACATGGACTGCAATAACGAATAACATATATCTCGTGCGGCATTTGCTGGCCTTGTATTTTTGCTAGGAGTATCCTACATTTGCGTCACTCAGCAAGGAGCATTTTCTTCGAGACTTTCATACAGGCCGGCGTCTCTTTTGTTCATCAATTCTTGTCAACGCGTTGCTCGCCTTGGGTTGCAAGTTTTCCGACCATCCGGCGACAAGGAGCAACAGCGAGGACTCTTATTCCGCGGGAGATCACTATTTCAGAGTATCGCAGAGATTATTGGACGAGGAGACAGACCACCACTCTCTGACCACAGTTCAGGCTTTGGGCGTATTGGCGATTCGGGAGGCGAGCTTTGGCCGAGATGCAGAAAGCCTCTATTATGCTGGACAGAGCATACGTCTTGCGTTCGAGATGGGCTTGCAGCACACAATCGAAGACGGCAACGATGACGAGCTTGCAGTCCGGTCGGCGACGTTTTGGGGCGCCTTCGCGCTGGATCAGTGAGTGGGTCTGAGTGCAGGCGAACAACTATTATCAAGGGACAGCGAGCTGACAGCCTGTACTCGATAGTGCCTGGTGTCTGACGACGGGGTCGTTGCCACAATGCTCGCGATTCCCACACTTGCCACCCAAGCCTACCATCATCGAGGACGTCGAGGCGTCGCTCTGGGTGCCATATACCGACGAGGGTGGGTGTACAGTGTCTGTTGCTGGTGACTGCGCACACTAATTTGATGAATGTGGCCAGGTGCACCTCAGCACCGTGCTCTTGAACAGCCATCGAATGTTCGTTCAGTGTACAAATGTTTCTGCGAGCTTAGCGAACTTATCCACGAATCCTTGTACTTGCTGCACTCGCCTAGTGTTCCATTCACAGCGAATCAAGTCCTGGGTATTTACACGCAATACTTCGCCTGGTATGGCAGGATACCCGAGGTTTTAAGGCTGGGTTACAACTTTACGCCGGCAGTCTTGTTCGTCCAGTGAGTGAGTCCTGACCATCGTCTGAAGTGGTGTAATGCTAACGTCTACCTACTTAGTAGGTACTACCATTTTGCGATGTTGCTACTCTTCCGTCCACTGATTTCTTACCGCATAATCGGATCAGGCGTGGCACCGCAGGATGTGTGTTCACAGGCAGCAGACGCTATCCAGGCCTTGCTTGCCTCCTACGCGCAACTTTACACCCTCAAACGGACAGCATCGTTCGTACCCTACTTTGTATTGACAGCGACTGTAATGAAGCTCGATATTGGCACTGCCGCTATGCGCACTGCCACACCAGGCGAAGCAGCCGAAATCCACAACGAGGTCGTGGAGACGCTGGAGAGAGCGATTATCCATCTTCAAGAAATGGTGGCGTGCCACAGGTTTGCTGCACAGGCACTCAGCATCGTCCTATACCTGGCAAAAGAAGGGAACATCGCTTTTAAAAGCGACGATCTGGAGATCGTGGATGACCATGATCAGCCGCGAGACTTGCACATGTTCTTTTCCGACGTTCCAGCAAGGGATTCAATATCGCCATTGGCCAGAAAGTTGGACCAGGCTGGGACGAGCATGCAGATTCCGATGTTTCGGTCTTTGGTGGCCCAGGCTTATGGCAGGGTTCCCGAAGGCAAGGCTCTAGATGAAACAGGCTTTCAGGAACTCTAAGATCGCAGTTTTGTGCGCTATCTCTCTAGCTCCAATCGGCGGCAAGTATGCAGTTGTGTGGAGAAGGCATATTGTTGGTCACAGTAAGTGAAGTTGTGTACCTAGATTTAACACTCTGAGCTGGGAGCATATCGATTCACTTGCCCAGCCAGCGAGGCCGCAGCTGTACCAGTGATAATTGCGACCCGACACTATCCCTCGCTACGCCGGGATTATGAAGACGCACACAACGTTGTGGATATGATTTCGTCTTGATCCTTTGTTCTTGCGGTGGCCTTTTTGTGCGTAGAAATGGCGTTGTGCTGACATGCTTCGGCATATTGCAATGCATCAGGTCGTGGCGCGGTTCATCCTCATAGCAACTCTTTGAGTTCGTCCAACACTTTCAACAGCAGCGAGGTGATACGGTAAAAGCCTGGTGCAATTATCTGCAGGATAGTGCGGGGTTAGCGACGATCCTGACACCAGCTTGTTCTTACCCAGTGTACTGGTCAAGGAGGGGTATATGTTATAATTACATAATTATGAGGAACTGTGTGAGGCTCGTCACCCAGTCCCGGGTGGCAGCTCCAACATATCACTAAAGAGTAGAACCAGATTTGTATTTTCTAAGTGGCCATAACCTTCATGGACTTCGTCCGGGTGTTGATGTCTTGACAGCAAGCAAAATTGAGGGCAATACACGTACATGACCTTTTCTAAGAGGGAGTTGAGCAGACTATCCGTCGACCACCCCGCGGTTCTTCATTCCATTGCCACCGACTGCAGCTGCCCGGGAGATCGATCATCCAACTGGGTTGAGGACACAATCGCGTCGTGGAGGTCACGCCTCGACACAAGGACTGCAAGTGGCGTAATCGCTTTTGTGATGGTCGTTAGGATGTAAGAGCTGCAATGCGGCGGAGGTTCGACTCTATATGCGTTGGACTTACGGGTATTTAACTTGCACACAACCAAAAGGCACGCCAAAAGGTACTGTCTTGCTTCTATATCCGCCCGTAGTGTGCCAGGTGAGAGTGAATGCCTGTCACACGATTGACCATGTGCCTCGATGCAAGCCCGAGCCCATCCTTCTTGGTGCAGTCACTCGTGACTAGGATGTTGATGCTACATGTCTAAAGCATATCTCATCTCGCCGTGATGGACCAGCGGGGTCTTATCATAGTCATCACACCAAGGTGTTTCGTCTCCCAAGATGACTTTCATTTGCAAAATATACAGGGGGTTTGATGAAGTCTACAGGGCTCCAACCAGTGGGAATGGGCCCCGTTCCCGATGTACGCGGACGGAAACACGCAGGTTCTGGAACGGGACCCGTTCCGGGATGCCAAAATGACCAATACCGATGTCGTGCGTGTCCATGTCACGGTGTTCATCATCTGCTCCTGCTCGTTTAGTGCCGCCCACCGAGCAACACAAGCAAAGTTGCGCGGTAGTGATGGACTCTTATCATTTGCTACCAGTCACCCGCGCGAATGTACCAGTCGAGATAGGCGAGGGTTCCGCTCGTCTCCGTCCCTGCAACCGGTGCACAGTTGGTATCTCTGCAAGCCTCGGAATCCCTGCCGATCTGATCTGTGCGTGGGGCCGTGTGCTATGCACACACACAATTCGGAGCACCCCGGGCTTTGAGCAGGTAGCTGTGACCTCCCTAGGCCCTCCGCTGGATTGGGGGGTCTTTCGAGGCTGTTACCAGCGGACTACGGGGGCTCCTATTGTGCTCGGTGGGCAACTTGCCTGTAAATTGACTCCATCCTCCATCGCCCGAACAGAAGCGTCATGCAGTAGCTTATAAGAGACACATTCTAGTCAATATCGCTGTTCCTGTCGCCGTCACTGTCACTGTCGCTCTTGCTCGAACTGCTCCTCACCTCGTGGTCCAACTACTATGTAGCGTTATGATACGATCGCATAAGTGCCAAGATGGGCAATGAGCGACTCTTCGACCCTGTGCTGATTGCAAATCGAACCTCTTCAGTATGGCCAGCTTACTACTCCGCTCGGATGTAACGTAACATATTTGTTATGACATTCAACCTCACTGGCTTTCGGTGTTCGCTTGTGAATAATTGCGCCTGCGCACTACCCTCACCTATAGCTCTGCCAAGACGAAAAAAGGCACTGCTCATTGTGACAAGTTGGCCAACTTTGGCAAAGAACAGACCACATCTTACAGACGCTATAAGCTCGAGATTAATCACCATGAAGAAACCGCCTGCAGATTTCTTTGGGGCACCAGGCCTTCCTCAACGCCCGACGTGCCGTCGAATCTCGGCAGTGAACACACACCCACCGATTCGAGGTCGTCGACTAATCAAAGGTTCGGGCGGAATTTTTCTCCGGCTGAATAATTGTATCCAACTAGCCCACGAGTATTACGGTGAGATAAACCCTATGTGGATGGATCGCTAAAATTAGTGCCCACTTGGCCGCGAATTAGGTCAGATCTATGCAGCGACCTGTCAGCTTCTGCTGCGGGGAAGCATAAAACTCTCTGCACATCTCAACCCATCGCTCACAGCACCAAACGCTTGTTCAGTGCTTCAACTCAGCCCTTGATTTGCGACATTAGTTGTCCTCATGGACCCCCTATCCATATCTGCTGGTATCGCTGGCTTCCTCTCCCTTGGGCTAGAAGTCACGAAGTCACTCATCGACTTTTACAGAGCCTATAAAGACCAGGATGCAGACATTGCAGACATGATCAGAGAGCTGGACCACCTGTGCGTTGCTTTTGTAGCCCTTGATGAAAGTCTGAAAAACCGCGATTTCAGCCCCGGCAAGAAAGATATCCTTTCCGCGATTGAGGAGGCAATTGGCGAGTGTACCGACTACATCGAAGAACTCCAGCACCAAGCGGAGAAGTTCATGAAGCACCAGAGCGAAAGCACTTGGGTCAAGGTTGCTGCAGGTACCCGTCGCCTTGCGTACCCATTTAAAAAGACAATGCTCGAGAAGTTGAAAGGTGACATCTTCGAACTCAGGTCAAGTGTCAACTTCATGCTTCAGATCGTTCAAAAGCGAGACATCGAGGAACTGAGCGATGACCTCGGGCAGGTAAAGGATTTACTAGAAGTGGCTCACTCTACGACCCTTTCCTTAGCCGTCAAAGAGTGGCTGGGGGCGCCCGATCCTACAGATCTCTACAATGACGCTTGCAGGAAGCGGCAACCGGGAACTGGGCTTTGGTTTGTCCGGGGCGAGGATTTTGAGAGCTGGCTCAAAACTCGAGCCTCTTTTCTCTGGGTCTATGGCTTTGCCGGGACTGGCAAATCACTGCTATGCTGTACCGCAATTCAGCACGCTTTCCGCCATCGACGCTCCAACCCACGGATTGGCATAGGCTTTTACTTCTTCAGCTTCGCGGATACCAATATGCAAACCGCCTCTGGCATGCTGCGGTCATCCATATTGCAGCTTTCGAGCCAGAGGGAGGACTTGGCTTTTCTGAAGCAGCTCTATGACACGTACAGCACCGCAACACCTCCAGTGCATGCACTGCTTGGCTGTTTCCTGAAGCTCGTTCGGTCGTTCGATGACGTCTACCTATTTTTAGATGGCTTGGATGAATGTCCCCATGACGCCTACCAGCCCCGCGACTCGAACAGGGATGAGCTGCTAGAGACAATAACCGTGATGCGCAGATGGGGTGATACTGGCTTGCACGTTTTGGTCACAAGCCGCGATGAGTGGGACATACAGGAAGCTCTTTGTGCTTTGCCGACTAAAGTCGTTTCGATGCAGAATGACTTCGTCCACAGCGACATCGCAAATTACATTGACTCGCAGTTACGGGAAAGAAAGCGTCTCCAGAAATGGTCCAAAAATCATACACGCATAAAGGAGCAGCTGACGCGGCGAGCGGATGGCGTGTATGTCATCTTTACGCAAGGAAAGCAGTATGACTGACTTTGTGCGCAGCTTCCGATGGGTTGATTGCCAATTTGGCGCCTTAGAGAACTGTCTCACGTTGGCGCAGCTCAAAGTGACTCTGTCAACGCTGCCGTCGACACTCAGCGAGACGTACGAGAGAGTCCTGGCAACTATACCTGAGCATCACGCGGAGCACGCAAGGCGCATTCTACACATACTCTGCTGCGCGTTTGAAACAGTCGGGATAAACGAATTGTTACGCCTCTCCGCCGTGGAAATCGGCACAGAGAGCGCGAGATATGACCCAGAGGACCAGATCCGCCCCGAGCTTATCCGCTCTATATGCCCCGGATTTCTTCACGTTGCTGGATACTCCGTGCAGTTTGCGCACTCATCGGTGCAAGAATACCTCGAATCGAAGGACATTGGAAAATGGGACAAGAAAGCAGAGCGGTTTCGCTTCGACAGGAACAAGGGTCACGCCATGATGACCTGCATTTACCTTGCACACTTCTTGTTCGACGCGCTACCCAACGACGCCGAGGAAGGGCAGAACGGGCATCCCGACGCGGACGGAAACTCGGAAGGACAAACAGAGTGGGTCTCAGAGCCAGAATTTGAACCGCAGTGGTATTTAGACCTGGACCCGGATACAAAGATTGAAGTAGAAGAGACGGCGAGGCGCTCGTTTCTACGTAACGCAGCTGTTGCCTGGCTACAACACTACCGCAAAATTGTCAACAGCAACGAGCAGCAACTCCCAAGACACTTGATTCTGCGACTCTTTCGGGACGACGCAGCATTCTCAAGATACGAAACATGTCTGTATGGCATCCCTCATCACCGTCACCATCCTCCACAATGCTGGCATGGCGTCCAGATCTACACCGCGGCTTCACTAGGATTAGACTTTGTCGTCGCGAGCCTGTTGGATGACGCTTCCTGGTGGAAAGGGTCCCAACCTTTTCGATATAGTGACATGCTCAACCACGAATGGCGCGCCGATACTCTACTTCATGCAGCTGCACGCAACGGCCACACAACGACGGTGCAGCTTCTCTTGGACAGAGGTGTCGAGGTAGATATCTGTCGCGGGGTCGACGTGTGCCTACTGAGCGGTAGCATGTGCCCGTGGTTCCTCGAGACCAGCCGGATGTACAGGGAAGAGGTGGATGGAACAGCCCTCCTGGAGGCCGCATGGGAAGGCCACAACAATGTCGTGGCGCTGCTCCTAGATCGCGGCGCCAACATCAACTTCCGAGGGAGCATTGATCGTACCACCGTTGAACTTCTCTACAGCGAATGCGCAAATATCAATAACCAGGGCGCCATTCAAGGAACAGCTCTGCACGCAGCAAGCTACCAGCGGGAGGAGGCTGTTGTTAAGCTGCTCCTCAGTCGCGGAGCGGATGCCACCATCCAGGGTGGGCTAGGTGGAACGGCCCTTCAAGCAGCCGCATCCCCCTTCCCGCCAAGTGAGCCTATCATAAGGCTGTTGCTCGATCACGGCGCCGACGTAAATGGCGAGGGCGGCGTATATGGAACGGCACTTCAGGCAGCTGCCCTGAGAGGAGAAGAATCGGTTGTAAGGTTGCTCCTCAGCCGTGGCGCCCATGTTGACGCCGAGGGCGGCATTTATGGAACGGCTCTCCAAGCAGCGGCCTCTAAAGGGGAAATGAACATCGTCAGGCTACTCTTAGATCATGGCGCCGACGTCAACGTCCAGAGCGGCCAATACGGGACTGCGCTCATCGCCGGCGCAGCGCAGAACAGCGGAGAGATCGTCGACATTTTACTAAAGCACGGAGCCGACGCCAGTGTACGAGCAAATGAGTTTGGGACCGCGTTTGAGGTGACATACAAAAACGGCCTTCTCCTCGATTCACTCGATGTCCTGTTCCGTCACGGCCTTGTTCCCGATGCGAAGAGGGCTAAGGTCAGAAGAGCGTTGCGGAAGTGCGTTTGGCCACGGTTGCCCCGTCCATACATCATTGTCGAAGACCCTGAGTTACTTGTTGGACTATCTTCGATGAGTTTGTACGAGAACGAGTATTAGAGCACGATAGCGTTGAAAGGAGTTTCCATCCACACACAACCTTAGGGTTAATCGAGACGGCGCAGCGCGCTTAATAGAACGTTTTCATCGCTTCATCGGGTATTTTTCCAGGCGTCCAAGGTTCGAGCAGTCTGTTGTCCCGTACAACTGGCTGCTCGTGGACACGGGCCTGTGCGTCAACAATTTCGTTATGCCAAATAACATTTCTAACTACCATAGTGAGGCAAGGGACGCTCTTTAGCTTTGGGGTCACGGTCACACTGTATGGGCATTCAGTAGCTAACACTCAGTGGGGACGTGATGCACCGTGAGCGGCTTCAAGCCTTGGGTTGAAGGGAGAGCGAGGGACTGGTCCATACCAGCCAAAGATTTCTCTTCGTACCCTAGGGTTTAGCATCGGCAGGTATAGTAACACGTAGTGTTGCCGTGAGACAACTGTAGCGGGCGTCACAACTTTCTGTGCTTGTTGTTCCGGGCATGGCAGCTACCCGTCGGACCCCCGCGTCAGTGAACACGTTTTAAAATCTGGCCACTTTAATGTCCATAGTGAACGAACTGCGCCCAGTTCAGAGGCATCGCCATGTCATCTGCCCTGACAGCCATGACCGCATCTCTGAGAGCCGACGCAACCTTCCTCCCTTCCCACGGCGACTGAGATTGACCGAAAAGCGATGAGTAAAACACTCGCGCTATCTACACGCACACTGCATCATTCGAGGCCAAAGGCACCCGACGACGTGCGGAAAGCCTGCCACCTGAAACCCGCTCACCACATGGATCACTTCATCTGATAGATCCTCTGACGCGTTTTGTGCTGTCGAACAAGCTGAGAGGTACGCTAGCCTGGCGTGGCTCAAATTCAGGTCCGAAATGTGTCTCATGGTCAGCCTATGTTGTACGATACTCAAATCTTTGAATCCTTTCATTCCATCTGCTGGGCGTTTTTCCCCTTGTCGCTGTAGTATCAGACCACTGTTGGATGGGTTCAATGGTCCGTCGACCCGTGGCATGCAAAGTGTGCAATGCAGCAGTCCTGAAGTCTCTTGACAACTTCAACAGTAGGCTTTTCTAGATCCGCATGGACGTAATTTCCATCTCTCAATCCAAGAAGCACTCTCTTTTCTTCCATGATACCGGGAAGGCTCGGCAGGGACATTTGGTCTTTTGACGGCGTTGTCGGCATTGTCACGACTAAGAGATCGTCATTTGTCGTGTCAGCGTTCTTGATCTGCTTCCGAGAATACGCGAGGACCTTGATAGACTGGTAAGCCGTCTCGGTTTCGCCTGCACGATGTACTCCGGCTGCATGGAAGGGCATCGCGCTGGCAAGTCCACTGCCGATTCACCACACTCTAAGGAGTTCACCCTCTTGAGATTCATGACCGGTGCGTATCTCGTCTGTTATGCGCTTGACGCAAGACTGCCAAATCCAGGCCAGGGAATCTGAATAGTCGCTATTCTTTCTCGCGCTTTCCGCTCTCCGGAATGTCCAGTCTTTGCGGAGCCAGACTTCTGCTTCGCGCACAGACAAGTCGGAGAGATGGATTGACCTACCCATCCGAGAGGAGATGAGAATAGCATCACTCCTGAACTCTGCGACGTTGAGGACAACGCTGTAACCTCCTGTTGCACATTCTTGCATCTCAGATGTCGTTTGGCTAAGCAGAAACCGTTCATGACCTGGAATTGCTCTGATGTCGTCTATGCAGGCGTCCAAATCGAAGCTGGCTGTCCGACGTCGTTGCAGCGTTCCCTAAAGTGCGTCCTGCTTCAGGTTCTGAATAGGAGTGTTCACTTCCTCGCGAAGTTTCTCATAGCGTAGAGCAATCTCTGGATGCTTCTTTGCCAGATCAGACACGTCGCTCCGGCTGTCTATCATTTGACTCAGAATGACTGTACGACCTTCCTCTAGGTATTTCAGTGCATCATCGACATGACTTGATGCTAAAAGTAAAGCGCAAAGGTTTGCAGCTATGCCCGCAAACGTCGATACAACGTACTGCTGATCGTCACGATCAAGGATTTTAGTGTTCACAAAAGGTAGAAGTTTGATGCCTTTTACCCCGAGTTGTGTAGCAGTATCTCTCTTGTCTTGCACGGCAAGACGTTCGATGCACCGAGCAGCAGCTTTGATGCGATCGAAAGGTACAGCGTTGTGAGTGTTCCAAGCCTGGTAATAATATTGGGCAATGACTATGGGCGCCGAACCACTTTGCTACGGACGCCGCATTATTGGCGCCGTGTGGCTGAGGAACCGAACGTATCGTATCGTCCGCAATGTTGCATGGTGAGAGTAGTAGACTTGCCCCTTACACAAGCGAGACTCACTGTTTCTTTGCGGGACAGGCTCTCGTCGGTAAATAGATTGATGGCCGCGGAACAGACTGATCTCCAACCAATTACATATGTCCTGGTCCTGTCTACTGCTATGCTATTCTTGGCTTCGCCACTCCCATTATAGTTGCACATTGATACAGTCCTGACAGTCATCCTTACTGGATGTTGACGTAGATGACGCTTTCGTGGTGGCGGGCCGCTTGGAAGCGCTACGACGTTGGCGCTTCTGTGGAGGCTCGGGCAACTCATTATCCGAGGCGGTCTCCCATTCAGACCGCCGCCTCCGCAGGCTCCGTTGTCTCCTGCGTCCGGCTTGCCTCATCCCAGTCTGTTTCCCCAGCCCAAGTGCCTTGCACTTGGACCGTGTGTCGGTGCCGTTGCTGCCAGCCCGCGGCTTTCGATTGATAGCCATGTGCTCAGGCACCGGCTGTGTTGCATTCTTCGGACGCCCACGGAAACTCGTCGCAATCTTGGGCTCAAGTATGCGGCGATAAGAGTTGCGCGAACTTGGTTGCCTTAGGTGCCACCTCGGGTGGATGTCCCATTTCGTCAATGTCGCTCCTGTCTCCAGCTTTTTGAAGATTGTGTGGCGGCAGGGAATTCCCAGCTGCCAAGAGACCGTGCAGCTCTCTTGACAGTCTCCAATAGGCTCTGGCCAAGGACATGACTTGCTTGGTACCGACGTCAGCGCCCGGCGGTGTTCCTTTGCGATCAGGTCGAGCCCTGGCTGCGATACCACCATGCGGAGTTCTTCCAGATACTCCGAACCGGGCCCAGATTAGGTTCGTGCCGTCAGGAATTCATCTTGAGAGCAGTTATCGGCGAAATCCCGCTCCTGATTTCTCAGCATGTCCTCAATTGCTTCGACAAGCCCGTACAAATTGCTCGTCCCGTTCAACAAGTAGCTTTTAACGTTGTTGTTGCTGGCCCCGTGCCAGAGGTCACGCGAACGCCGAAGTTGCGGTACTTTTTGACGTAGCAATGAGCCCACTGGGCACTTATAGGCAAGTAGGTGTTGTAGAGATAAGAATTGCCTGTTGGTCGTTGAATTTGTGGCATAGGCGAAACCACGCCTTCTCATATTCCCCTTTATTCTCCGCAAAGACTATAAGCTTCCATAGTTCAAGGACGCCTCGGTAGCTGCGCGGCATGGCCACAGTGCCACAGACTTGTAAAGGCGGGTCGTGGACGGCTTCCACGACCCTCGAACTTAGTGCTGCCCTGGATCGTCGATTGCTGTCGCTGTCGCTGTCGCTGTCACAGGCCCCTCGTCGTTTGCGTCTTTCCACTTTTACTTGGCGTTAAGAAGTACGTTTGCATTGATGTGGTGGATGCAGAGTTGCTGCTGGCTACCAGGAAATTGATGGCCCATTGCTGCCTCAATTTGCTCGTCGTAGTCGGTGATCACAACGTCAGCTAGCTGGATCGCATGCCTCTCAGTTAAGAGTCGGACCCCCTCAGCGAGGAACTGAAAGCCTTCACGCCTCTCGTTATCGATCAAACCGAATGCGGCGTTGTAGACTAACTTCAAACATGTCTGCCCTGTAACCTGAAAGAGCGGTAGCTTGAAACGATTTGTATTGTACGTGTTGTCGAAGCTCATTATTTCCGGAAAGCGCTTCCACATCTGGACGCAGTACGGGAAGGTCCAAATTAAGCCAACGAGGCGATCCGGCTCTGTCGTGGACCACTTAACGGCATACGGGATGCTTCGCTCGTCGAAGAGTTTGATCAAAGCGGCTGTGGGGCTTAAGCCACCGAACTTCTTTCGACGCAGGCGGGCTCTCGCATTGTATCTGTCCTTCCTAGTGCAGAGCATGTCGGGGTGCTTTTCTCTCACGATGTCACGTACATCGCGAGCCCTAATGCCGACGCGCCGACTTGTCGCCTCAATTGTTGTCATGACGGCCTAGTCTAGCCTCCGATGTATGGGGTGGGCAGCGAGACTTATGCTGCGGTTATGGCTGTGTTGGCTGTGTTGCGGATTGGCGAAACTTCGCAGCGTCCACATGTACTCATTTTGTTCCAGTGCTTCTGCGATAACCTTCCATTTGCAACTGCACTTCCGCGACCACTTTTGACGGAGACCTGTGCCCTTAGACGGGCGGTGCATGCCGTATCGATCACACTGAAACACGTATCGTGTCTTCCGCGTGCGACTCCCTGATCCATTGTGCCTGACGACGCCAAATCCGTTTTCCTTTGCGAACTTATTAACGTGGGACTGTAGTTCGTCGATCGTATACGCCGCATGACCCGGGATCGAAGGGTTGGGTATTCGCGTTGATGCGTCGTGACTGCTGGACTCAGTGTCGGAGAAGCCATTCCACTCCTCGTCACCATCTTGGTATCGGCAGTCAGACGGCATTGACGATGGGAGTACCGTTAGCGCGCCTAGTACATCTGTAGCGACTTCCAGCGAATCGAGCCTTGAACAATGCTTAGCCAACTCGAGAGCCAATATGGAGTCGACTTTGGCTTGGTCTACGGCGAATTCCAAGGCAGACTGAAAGCAAGACTTTCTTTCAGCGCCATCGTCGGTGTCGTGTTGTTTGGCTTTTTCGCGCAATCGCTGTCTCTCAAGTTTGTCGGGACCTGGTATTACAGACTTGAACAACCGCTGGACACCACAGCCGCGGAAGCTGTCGTCCAAATAGATTTGC